AAATATTATACATATATATAACATATTTATTCATTCATCTATCGCTGGGCAACTAGAATGCTCTCATAGCTTAGCTTCAATAAACATGAGTATACAGGTAACTTTATTGACTTTCATTCCTTTGGTTCTCTGTTGAGGAATTGTATACAATGGTATCTCCATTCATGAACTGAATTCATTCCATAATTCTGACTGTGAACCAACTTGGTCATGAACCAAATCAAATTTCCCCACAAGGTTCAATGTAAATAATGTTAATCAGTTCTGAACCATATGTATTTTTTAACCACAAAAATATGAAACAAAGTATAGTACAGTACATAATATGAAGAGAGAGAACACTAACCTTGCTTGAGGTGACTTCTGGCATCAAGAACAGGAAGATGGTCCAGGTAGGTGTGCCACAGCTCCCAGCACAGAGGAGGCCTCTGAGTTGGCATCCCACGGCTCCCAGACCAGAGGAGACTTCCAGGCCAGCATGCCACAGCTCCCAGCTAGGAAGGCTTCTGGGTAGGTGTGCAACAGCTCCCAGCACAGAGGAGGTGAGCCACATGGGCACCAGGAACACACACCCCTGCCTGCTGTCAAAATGAGAAGACAGATAAACAAGCCTCAGAACCAGACTTCCAGATCACCTACAGCAACCCCTAAAGAAAAAGAGATAGAACACTCTGATACGCAAACACCTGGACACAATGAACTAGCAACAAAAAAGGATCCGGTAAAAATGAAATCAGAAATAATTTCTCACATAACAGCAAAGATTGTGCCCATAGTCCAAGACATGATTAAAAAATCTAGAGAGGATACAGATAAAAAATAGAGGAGCTGAGGAACATGATGGAATGCCAATATAAGAAACAAATTGAATCCATAAAACAGATGCAAACAGATTACCAGGAGATTAAAAACTCAATTGAAAGTCTATGCAGCAGAATGAGGCAATGTGAAGACAGAATTTCTGATACAGAATATAAGATTGCAATTAGTGACCAGAAAAAGAAAAAAATTCTTTAAAATTGTAAGGGACCATGAGAAATCAATCCAGCAGCAGCATCTAGCAAGGCCAAAAGTAGTTGAATCCATTATATTGCATTTGATTTTATTTTCATTTCTTTAAGATATTTCAGCATTGTATTTTAAGGGTAAGTTTGCTTTCATATACAGGAACTGAAATTTAAGTTGCAAAAGGTATTTATATTTGGAAAGCTAAGGCTTTGAGATTTCATCTTTTGTACCTTAGCATTTATTTAAACCTCTGTGAGAAGTGTCCCTTGTCTCACAGTTCATTCTTTCCCTGGACTATGTGCCAAGAGTCCTAGAAGATCAATAGTGTAGCCAATGTTCTTAAATATAGAGCGAGGGTTTTAGTGTCATAATTTGCAACCTAGAGGAAACCTCAGACAGCATGTAGATGAATATGTCTTTTATGCAGAGAAAGGCACTCTTAAAAGGAAAATTAAGTTACTTATTGAAAATAAGTTATTTAGAGTCTTCACAGGTGACAAAGGTGGAACAGCAGGGACTAGATGGCCTCTCCCATCTGAGTAGGTGAGAAAATGGGAAAGATCTGTGAAATAGACCACTGCCCCCAGCCCCACAGAGCAGAGCTGCCCACAGCTCAGAGGAGGTGAACCTTCTGGGCTGCCTTACCACCACCTCCAACACAGAGGAGGTGAGCCACGTGGGCGCCAGCAACACACATCCCTCCCCTCCACCACTAAAATGAGAAGAAACATTAAACAAGCCTGAAATCAAGATGTCCAGATCACATAAAGCAACCTCAAAGGGAAACAAGATGGAAAAAATCTGATACTCAACCACCTAGACTCCCTGAACTGGCAACAAAAGAGGATCTGAAAAAAAAATCAGAAATAATTTCTCAGATTGCAGCAGAGATTGTGCCCATAGTGCAAGAAATCATTAATAAATCTAGAGAGGACACAGATAAAAATATACAGGAGCTGAGTAACATGATAGAATCCAAACATAGGAAACAAATGGAATCCATAAAACAGATGTAAACAGATTTCCAGGAGATTGGAAACTCCACTGAAAGTTTATGCAGCAGAATGAGCCATTGTGAGGACAGAATTTCAGATATACAAGATAAGATAGAAATTAGTGACCAGGGAGAGAAAACTTTCTTTAAAATTGTAACAGACTATGAGAAATCAATCCAACAGCTGCCAGATGATGCAAAGAAGAATAACATAAGACTGATTAGAGTCAGTGAAGAAACAAGAGAGAGTGCATATGACGTAAAAAACTGTTCACAGAAGTGATGGCAGAAAACTTCCCCAGCAGGGGAAAAGAACTTGACATACAGATAAGTGAGGCATATGGAACTCCAACTAGCTGTGATAAAAAGACATCTACACATAGGTATATAATAGTTAAGATTCCAGAATCCCAACAGAAGAACCAAATTCCAAAATCAGTTAGAGAAAAGAAACAAATCACATACAAAGAAAAGTCCATCAAAATCACAGCAGACTTCTCAATGCAAACCCTCAAGGCAAGAAGAGCTTGGAATGATATATTCCAAGCCTCAAGAAAAATAGCCTCCAACCCAGACTGATGTACCCTGCAAAACTATCTTTCAAAATTGATGGAGAAATAAGATACTTTCATGACAAAGAGCACCTTAGGAACTTCATGAATACCAAACCAACACTCCAAAAAATCTTAGACAATATCCTAGGAAAAGACAATGAGGATCACCACCTCAGAAGCCCAGCAGAATGAAGCCATTGGGCACGACAAGAAATTAAACACAAAGTGGGATAATCCAACAAAAAGAGAAAGTCATGACAATGATAAGCCAATATGTATAACTTACAATGATCAATGTTAATAGTCTCAACTCACCAGTCAAAATAAATAGACTGACAGAATGGGTCAAGAAGCAAGATCTAACAATATGCTGCATATAAGAAACAAAATTAATTCAAAAAGAAAATCATAGACTGAAAGTGAAAGGGTAGAAAACATTACTTCATGTGAAAGGAACCCCCCCAAAAGTAGGTGTAGCTATCCTCTCTGCAGATCAAGTGGATTTCAAACCAACACTGATTAAGAGAGACAAAGGAAGGACACTACATCCTTGTAAATGGAACAATCCAAGATGAAGAGATGACAGTCATAAACATATATGCACCTAACACTAGTGTGCCCAATGATAAAAAACAAATATTAATGGACATGAGAAATCAAATAAGCCCTAATAAAATAGTGGGGGACCTCAATATCCCACTGTCACAAAGACATAGATCAACTAGACAAAAATTAAGCAACGAAATAATAGAACTCTAACTGCTGAAGGAATGAACTTAAGAGATGTTTACAGAGTGTTCCACCCCACAAAATCAGAATACATATTCTTTTCAGCAGCACATGGGTCATTTTCCAAAATAGGCCACATACTCACTCATCAAACATGTTTAAGTAAGTGCAAAGGAATTGAAGTTATCCCCTGTATATTATCAGACCATAGTGCGATGCAATTGGAGATCCATAGCAAAAGAAGCTGTAAAAACTTCATAAACACATGGAAATTGAACAACACACTTCTGAATAACCAATGGGTCACAGAGGAAATTAATGAAGAAATCATACAGTTCCTTCAAATAAATGACAATGACAACACAACATATCAGAATCTATGGAACACAATGAAAGCAGTCTTA